ATCATCTCAGTAATGACCATCACTGTCCACGATTTTGTTTCCATGGCTTCGCTCGGGAGAGACCCGATGTTGTGTTAACTGAAATAGTTTTTATACTCTTCAGCTGATACTATCCCCCCATATGTTTAGATCGAATTGTTCCTTCCGACTACCGTATCGTATGGAAGAGTCCATAAGGGCTGAGCGGTATTATCCAAACCGACTTATGCTGTGGATGAGGTATTCAGAGACCAGCCTGGTATATGTGGGACTCTGATAGATGCGATACTACTGTATAAGTAGTACATGGTCGTGGAATGAGAAGGTTGAACACTTACGCATTCTCGGTATGCGGCCCTATTCTGAGTTGAACTTTGCATTTTTAATAAGTGGTTATTCTGTGTTGATTTACGGAAGTAGTAGTGATGTATTCTCATTCGTTTGCTCGTACAATAATTTTCCATCACAGGATGATGATGAAGATTCATCGTGCTGCAGATTGATGCGTCTCCGCTCCTTACAGCACTCAGTTCTACTATCCTAGTTGAGGAAGGGTGGCCCTCCTTGAGGTAGTCGGTCAACGGCGGTTACAAGGTGAGCTCGGAAGCGCTCATGGAGGACGATCTAGAGTTATTCGGTTAGCAGAAATCGGATCTGAAACCTTTGAGTTCCATGTTGTGCGCAACGTGAGTCACGTTACGTGACGCTGGAGGGACGTCACCGCTGAACATGCAAATTCACAGCGGCGACGCTGTTGTTAGGCTGGAGATCCGCTGCGAGGGGTACACCGTCAGGAGGCTCTTGTTCTACACTGGAGCATGTACTATGGCGGACCTTCATGGGGACAGTAACACGGTGGAAACACGGGCCAGTCGGGCGGATTTCGAGGAGCACGGTCCGTGAGGGGTCTGCAGGTTGATGCCAACTCATCATCAACGTTAATTGGATACATGCAGTTGAGGCTATTGAAGTTTCCTCTGTAACAAAGGCTTTAGATTTGCGCCGCGTTGTGGGGCTGTTTCAAAATCGTAAGATGCGTATGAGTTTTGGAACTCAGAACTATCAGAATATTGGAAAGTTTCATTGGGTTGTTCATTCGAACTAGAAATGATAAGGTTCAGAATTGTTAGCCTATGCACTGTAAGCCATTTTAGACTAGTCTGTACAGATGTCTACACTACGTGAAGTGCGTCAGCATCTAATTACAGATATATTCTCGCTCGCCCATATCTTTGTGATTCGCAGTCTCCTATAGGCTATCTCTTCCATTGTTCATTTCCCTATGAAGACGCCGTCCCGATGCGAATCAACAACTCTAGAAGAGGGGTCTGCCCGTTGTACGGATGCTCCGGGGGTGCCTCGTAAGGTCGACATGTGGTTGTTGTTCCAATACGGTATTCTCGGTTTCGTAGCCCTGGCTCCATGGAATTTCGTCTTAACAGCTTTGTCTTTCCTAGACTCCAAATTCCACAATAATTTTGCTTCAAGCGTGCCCATCATCTATGCGGCGTCGGTAAATGTAGCTCAGCTTATCCTCATCTGGGTGGGCAATAAGTTCACCTTTTTACCCCGCTTTGATCTGGGCTGCATTATGCTATCGATCGCAATTGTTCTTCTCGGCGTCGTCGCCATCCTATTTGGCGACGGCAATGTCGTCCCTAACGAACCGCTGGGTTTCGGCCTAGCTCTGATATTCATTTTTTTCCTTGGTTTCGGACACTCAGTGATGGAATCATCAGCGTTTGGACTGGCCGCGCTGTGTCCGAAGATATGTATGGTTGCGACGATGATTGGGGAAGGCGTTGCTGGGCTGTTACCCTGGCCATTGTATCTGCTTATTGAAGTCATTTTCAGTCGAGCCTCCAACTCTGAGGGTTGGCAAAATCTTGTATTCTTTATCGTTCCAGCTACAATAACGATGATGATTGTTCCAATGCTCCATGCATGGACAGTTAAGCATCCTTATATGGTTGAAGTGTTGAAGATCGAAGAAAGGCGTAAACATGACGCACTCACAACACGTCAAACTCGAAGACCGGTCCATCGTATTATTCTCGCAGTCCTACCAATGGCTTTATGTGCCTGGGGGGGTCTGGCAGTTCTCTTTGTTGTATTTCCTGGGCAGATCGTCTTCTGGACATCGTCAAATCCCAATAATGCTGGCTTCGTACCACAAATAATATACAATTTCCAAGTACTCGATACGGTCGGTCGTTTCGCACCTTCAATTGGATTGAGCCTATCTGAGAGAGCGCTCATGGTTTTCATCGCATTGCGTGCCTTATTCATCCCATTATTCATCTGTACGACTGTCTATCAGTCTATTGCACCATTTTCGTTCGATTGGTTCAAACACATCGAGATGGCGCTGATAGCAATTACTAACGGTTTCGGTATTACTCTTGCTATGGCTTATGGTCCACAGCGCGTTTCCCAAGACAAGGCTGAGCAGGAGGTGGCGGGCTACACCATGGGGTTCGCTCTTATCAACGGCATTTTCATCGGCAGTCTATTCGGACTCCTTGTGAATGTTGCGCTCGGGCAAACGTGAGTGATAGTTCACTCGAGAGTATTATTGC